TTTAATTACTTTTTAAAGATAAAGGATACTCTATAAAGATGCTTTATAAGCTTTTCTTATTGAGTGTTGAGATTAATTATCTGTTAGGCATTTTAAAAAGTTAATATCAATTTTTATCATGAGAATGAATGGCAGATGCTAGCAAACTTGTTCCCATGTTGTAGCAACACTCCTTTATGTATTAATAGATACAAATATCTAAAACTCTATGAAGTTTCACATCAATATGAATAGCAAAGATTAGTGAACTCAACCTCCAGATATTAAAATCAGCTCTGCCAGGTGTTGTACTACCCAGAATTCATTTTTTGCTTGTTTCTTTTCTTTTTTTTCCTTTTCTTTTCTTTTCTTTTCTTTTCTTTTCTTTTCTTTTCTTTTCTTTTCTTTTCTTTTCTTTTCTTTTCTTTTCTTTTCTTTTCTTTTCTTTTTGTTGTTATTGTTGCTGTTGTTGTTGTTGTTATTGGGTCCTTCTGCTTCTCATCATTACTGACATTTTCTTTATTAATTTTGAGAAACTACTCATCTCCTTTGCAGTAGACATTCAGATCCTGAAGGTGCACAGCTCTGCTAGCCTTTAACCTTGTGATACCTGTCTGCTGGGACAGCTTCTGGAGTCAAAGAGAAACATATGTTCAGCAACTACTTTGAAAACGCCTTGAGCATTTTCTCACTCATAAAGATCTCTTCAGCTGGAATGCCAGCACCTTTCCACATACAGGGAACAGGCAAGCAGGCCATGAAATACACAGCAAACTAAATAAAACAGAACATTAATACAAACATTTAAAAATCTGATTACAGTGCGGGATTGGATTTTTTCCCATTAATTATAAAATCATTCATTTGGGAAAAATATCATTTCACAGCTTAAGAGAAATCACTAAAGATTAAGGATGGGAAGGCTTTTGGTAATACTTTTAAATATCTCTGTCATATGTTTGCAGTCTTTGAAAACAGAGGAATTTGTAGTTCTGATTGAAGTATCCACAAGTATTTTATAGTTATCCACAAGTATTTTAGGTGTTGAGACATTAAATTGTCAGCCTTATCAGTTTGATTGCAGTAAAATATGAAACACTGACTTTTGTCTATTTGGAGAAATTTATTTTTCCAAGGATGACAATCCTTTAAGTAGAAACCAGGCAGCTTGCCAGCTCTCCATGGAAGTTTGCAAATGCAGCCTATGTTTTCAAAAATTTCTTGAAGTTCAATGAATGGTGCATGGACCTTTGGCAAATAGCCTTGTATTAAACAGATTTCCATATACTGCTTACATTTCCCTTAAGCCTGTTATACAGTAGTACGTATTCATTACAAATAAATGAATGTCATAGATCATGGTTTGCATTCAAGTTATACATGTATTCATCGTTCCTCAATTATGTACATTTTTCTAAAGCAAACAGTAACCCTCCTTGGACTGAAGCTATAGGAACAAGTTTGATTAAATGTTCTACAAGACTGAAGTAAATGTTCATCATATCTGTCAGCAAGCTGACAGCTTTCAAAAAAGAGCCTTTGTTCCTGGGATAAGTAAGTTGTATGATCTTCTTTAATATGCCTCATTCAAAACCTTAGAGGGAGAAGGTGTTACATTCAAGTGAATTCTACGCAAAATGTGATTGTTGGTAAGTATGCTTTGTATTCCAGATCCTTGATATACAAACATTATTTGACAGGATAGTGACTATTTTTTTAATTTGTTGCTGTTGCTTGTTGGAACACTTGTGCTCTCATTAGGCAGAGGTGTATTTGACAAGCTTTTGACATACGTATGAGGAAAAGTCACCATTAACCAGTGCCCTGCATCACTTTTGTGCTTAGTTGTGCTTTAATAGGTAAACCCTGGGCATAGAGATTACTGGACACATTAGAAATTACATTTGATTGACTAAAAGAGAAATAAAGTAGACCAAAATTTGGATGGCCAAAAAGGAATGATTTAGCTGAATCCATGAGAAGCAAAGGGAGCAACTGTTCCATTTTTTCTGGGATGTTAAATGCTTTCTCCCAGCTGGAGAAGTAACATCACTGGCACAAAGAATTAGGCCAGGCACACTGTGTCTCCCACGTTAATAAGTACCTCAAAAACATATCAGCTCATGAAAAAATAAAAGTGAGGTTACCCATTAGCATGGGAAGATATATCCTTCCTAACCTCTTCAGACAGAAAAGTTACTGTACAACATGAAGCATTACATTTGATTACTTTTAGATAGCCAAACTTTTCACAGTAGTAGCATTTCAAAGCTTGAGAACAGCATTTGGCTTAAAAAGTCACATATTTATCTGTTTAAATGAGTTGTTACAGTGAATAACAGCAATGCACTGATCCAACACTTTTTAAAAATCCAGCCAAAATATTTGACTGAATAGGACTGGATTCCATTTTGATTTCAAGCCAGATAGAGGACTTAATCTTATTTCTGTTCATCAATATGTCCTTCTACTTTTTGTCTGTGGGTCTGCATAGGGCAGAAGATATGCCGTTTGTTGTATGCCTATATGCACTCAACTAATATTCTTTTCTACAGACTTTGGGTGAGTCCAAGGTGAGTCAGTCTCCGGCTGAGGTCTAACTACTTGCTTTGCAATCTGACCCACTAAATAAAACCTGTGTTGAAAGTGTGTTACCCAAGTGACACCAAGTGTCCTTCCCAAAGTCAGATGAACAAACCTGGATGTGCTCCTACAAGCAACAAGTTGTGGTTAGGGTGACAATATGACATTGATTTCTGTATAATTTACAGGTTTAGAGCAGAAAAAATTTATTGGCTGGTTGTGTTGTTGCTATTCCTTTAAATAAGGGAGCACAAGCTGCCTCACTGCTCCTCCCAAGCAGACCTTGCATGAGTCTCCACTGACACTGCAACGTCCTTGCAGTCTCTGTAGTATGCTCCTAGAGAACAAATCTGGAGAATCAAGCTTTGCTTCAGGAGTAAACACAGCCACAGCTTGGGCATGGACAGACAGGTTGCTGTGTAGTGTCAGACCCTGCAGGAGCTGGCAGGAAGAGCTGGAGTTCAGCAGATGCCTCCGTTACCCCAGCATCCCACCGCTGGCCGTATCAGTTTTAGAGCCACTCAAATCACCTCACTGATATTAGCTACTTCTTACTTTCTCCATCCCAGTCAACATATACCAACATAAGCAGAGAAATACAGCAGGAGTTATTATCCATCCTAACTATGTGTTAGTACAATTTTAATTTACCTTCATGCTGGGTGGGGCGGGGAGGGAGAAGAGAATTGATGCAATAAAAATAATAAATATCTGGTTTAATCCAAAGTAGGAGTTCATTCCTTCCTACAAAGAAATTTATTTCCTTAAACAGTTTATTTAAATTACCTTTACCATAAGATTTTGGAAAGTCCAGGTTTTTTTATTCCTTTCTTACTTTTACCTGTTTTGCTCTAATTCAGCTCCTCTTTACAGAAGAGGCATAGTTTTAGTCCTTTCAGGTTATACTCCTTCAAGTTCTGCATTTTTATCATCTTTAGGACAATTCAGCAGTCATGGAGGAAAAAGAAATATTTGCTTTGACATTGGAATATTTATCCTGATGTGTCTATCTTATAGGAGAAAATGACAATAGTATTTCAGACACTGTGGTGTGGCAACTGGTGTGATTTAAAATCTTTAATCACAACTACCAGAAAATATGAAAAATAAAATACAGGGATAGGTCTGAAATTTTTTAAAGCATTGTCCACTGAATTATGATGCAATATCACGATTAATTTGCAGAATCCCCATCAGCTTAATGAAACTTCAGTGAAATGTATGGGCAGAAATTGCACTCTTTTGACATCAGGATTAATGAAGTAGAGAAAGGAAGAAATAAAGAAATTCAGCATTCAACCTCTCTGTCCCCTCTCTTTAGCACAATATTTTCTACACATGTACCATTTGCACTGGTAATTAAATTAGTAATATGATATCTGTTCCCAAATGTCTCTGAGTATTTTGATTTCTCACGTCTTATTTGATGTTTCATTCCTAACTGCTCCTGGTCTGTCAATGTATGCTCTAATCTCTTTCTGTTACGTGGCAGAGTATCATCTCCAAAGTTTCTTTGTGTTTTTGAGGCCCAATTTAGTTTTATACTTTTCTAAATTCCTATGAAAACAAAAAAATTAGGATTTTTTTACAACTGCTTTAGGGGAAACATGAAGGCAAAGGAGTTATGGGTATCTCAACCCACATGAGCGGCCTCCATTTGGCTAGAAACTCAAACTTCTTTGAAAGGTAGAGCCAAATGAGATTAAGTAATCTCAATTATACCTGTGGAGATCCATATAATAGTTTAAAGTCTATTGACTGTGTTTATTTCCTAATTCATTGTTTGCACTCAAATTTTGATAACATAAATCAAATCTGTCTGAAGGACAAAATGCCATCCAGAGAAACTTGGACAAGCTCAAGGACTGGGATTCTGGAAAACGTATGTGGTTCCTTGCTACCACTTTATACCTGCAACCAGTACAGTGTCATAGCAAGCAAGTTAGCCAGGCATGCAGTCTGGATTTAATGTGGAATAGGAAATTAATCCTTTGCTAATAGATGGGCTGTTCATATAGCACTTTAGTTTGGTTTTTTTGTAAAGTAAATATTATATATACTCTTCATGTTAATGTTCATGTATGTGAAATATAAGAAGGCTATTTATGGTCCATGTCACATGTCACAAGGTTGTGAACAAACTGCATTTGTGAAAAGGGATTGCTACTACTTTGTGGTCATGGCAATAGTTGTTTTTCAAGTGTTTCTGAAAAAAACAGAGGCCAGTGTTAGCCCATTTTCAGCTCATCAAACCCAATGGCGATTAAGCTTCTGGCAGTGGTTCCTTAAACTAAGCAACACTATCTGTCACTAAAAAGACTAGGATGTATTGCAGCATCAATTATTAATGGGAAGTAACTTTCATCTGCAGACGGCAAGTTGCAGCACCATGAACAGGAGACAACACCATGGAAATCTGCAGATCTTTCTTAAGCATCTTGTTCTGCTGCAAAAATTTCTCCACATCTGGTTGTGGGGTTCTACCACAAATGCTCTGATGTAATGTTCTGAGAGCAAGAGAGAACTATGTGGGTCAGTGAGTAGCTTTTTCTTTCTGGGCACATCTTTGGATTGGCAGGAAGAAAGCTGTTGGGTAATACATAAAGGCACTTGATGGCGCAGCATGAAATCTGTTCCTATGCTGAATATAATCATAAATCTACAGCAGAAAAGTAATAGTGTTCTTCCCAAACAATTTTATTTTAACTTCTTCGGTATGCCAGGAAAATGACAGATGATCAACTGACTACCAAAACGCCATTTTATTATCTCTGATAGTTGCAATGAAAGGAAATAGTATTATTACCAATAATTGCCTGTACTAGATGTCCAGAAATATAACCCTCATCAATTACTTTTTTGTTAAATTTCTGGTCCATTCCAATTAAAGTTTCTTTTAATTTTTGTGAAATCATATTCCGCTACCCATCATGACAGATCAAATGTGTTAATAGTGTCTTCACATTAAAAGTTTTTTTCAAGGGGTTACCAGCATGCATTCTCTTTATTTTTTTTTCACTAAACATTTGCATGTCTTCTTTAGAACATGCTAGCCTGAAAATCTCCATTATTAAATGTATTAAAACATAGAGGGAAATTATCTATTTCAAAATTACTGGTTAATTATTATATATTTATGATTTTAAAATTTGAGTATAAATAGTCAGATGCTTTTGTGTACTTTGAAGCACTCATCTTTACATAAATTTTGAAATAATTTAAAATTATTCTGTTCATTTTATAATCAACACACATGTTTTTAACTAGCCTTTAAACTCACCTGTTGCAAGTTAGTTTCAGACAATGCACTAGTTTAAAGTACTTACATAAGCCGGTCAAACATAGTAAACAACCGCAAAAGCTCTAATAGCATCAGATTAAATATTTTAGGTGATTTTTAGTCAGTGCTTGCATATATAAACATTTGGAGAAGTGATTGCAAAGAGATAGTGATGACACCACTGTCTTAGTCAGTGATTTCTTCTCTGCTGTTAGACATATTAGACATTAAATGATCCCATCACCATTAATCTGAATATTTGGTTTAATACAGCTCTCTTACAAATGAATTTTGAAGATATTCCCTTAAACTAGATATACCTCTGTGTCTTAAGCTCATAACAAATATTAAATATAACTTAACAGTATAGAATATCAGACAACGGTTGTAATAAACTTAGTTAATCTGGTGAAAAACTTTAATTGGTGCATAAGTTCATAAAATACGAAAATTGTCTATCTGCATGTCGTCAAATCCTCATTTCTCCAATTCACAGAAATTTCCTTTCAATGTAGTATTGTCTGAGTGAGATAAGTAGGTGACTTGATAAACACAGCATTCAAAAAATTCTCTTTTCCTGCTGTTACTAAGACACTTACTATTCAATATTGGGCTGCATATGAAATTGACTTCTTCAGACCGAGATAATGTCTATAAGCTATAGTGTTTGGTTTTTCTTGTTTGTAAAGAAAGAGGACTCTTTGTATCTCAACTACCAGGTCAAATGTTCAAATTAGGAGAAGTAATAATTATTTTATTCTGAAAATTTTGAAGGTTCTGAAGAAGTTTTTTTCAAGAAGTACCCACTCCATTGACGAGTCTCTGAGATGAGAGGTGTGAGTTGATAACATATCAAAAGAGCTGCTAAGTAGAAGGCCTAAGGATGAGTTTCTGACAGAAAAAAAACTAAATTTGAGCACCAGCATCTATCACCATCCATTACAGTTATTTCAGAGAATGAGTAATATTTCATTGAGAAAGTTCATCACAGAAAGAAATCAATCATTTCTATTATGACTATAAGTTTGATTATTATTTAAAAACTGGTCTTTTGTCTTATGGGCTGTTTTATTTTTAGCATATAAAGTCCACCGTTGGTTATTTAGCTTCAGCTTCTCTGTAACAGCAAGTCTGCAGACTGCAGGTGGATTGCAAAGGGATTTTGGCAGTGTATTCAACCTGTTGAGAAAAATCCATTTTTCCTGCTATTACTTTCCATTGTCAGCCTCGTGCCAGTGTTCATGGTGGCTGTCAAAAAAAAAAAAAAAACAAGCAGGGAAGAGAGTGATGAAGTATAGATTTGCAATTAAACCAGCATTTTGTTACAGAAATAATCGTGGAAAAGAAAGTGGTTTATTAATACCTTGATATCACCTGCCATCTGAAGAAGCTCAGACCACATTGGAGATGTAAGATTTGGACACAAATTTCTGCTATGTGATCCCAAACTTCAAGGCTAATCAGTCAAAGATATGAATGTAGTTTTAGCCAGCATTTCACACTCATTTGACACATAAGATCTACACAAAGTGCAGAACAATAGAGAATTAGTCCCACTGAGCTTAATAAAAACCTAGAGAGGGGGGAAAAGTCATAGTTCATTTGTGGAGCTCTAAGGTAAGTATGTTTTTCATAACTTAAAGATGTTCTGGGAGGTGCCAGTATAAAACAAAGTTCCAATGCAGCCAAAAGGAAAATAGAAAACAAAAATAAAAACATATGGAGACCTTTAGAAGCAAGTTTAAATTTGCCTTCTACTAATCCCCAATACACACTCCCTGTTTTTCCTGGATCTCATGAGCAAAGGACAGTTCTGGGTTTCCTCTCCAGATTAAGACTTTAGCTGTTTATTTCCATCCAGCTCTTCTTCCAAAACTGCTGCATAATCCCTCTTTCTTTAACACCTGCTACATAATATTTCACACTTGTTCAGTCTCATTTGAGCTACAGGAGGGAAAAGAACAGCATCATCAAAAGTTGTGCCCAACACTGCAAATGTCTCTATGAAAGCAAGCCATCCCCTCTGCCCTTGTGCTACATGACTGAGGGTGCCAATTTTCATGGACACCATCCAAGCAAGAGCAGCAGCAGCAGTACAGGAGATGACACCTCAAATTCAGCATGAATGAGAGGGCTTGTGGGATTCCTCTGTCCAGCATTTATTTTATGATTTTCATGATACGTGATATTTTGAAGAAGGAATGCTGCTGCTGTTGCACACAAGTAACCTGTTGCAGTGGGTGAGAAGGAGGCTTTTCCAAGCCCCACACAATGAAATGCATTAAAAATGTACACTCTGCTGTCACATATTTCTGTTTTCAGGTGACTTATTGCCATGTAGCCACCACAAAATCTATTACATATGTCTGAAGTCATTTAATGCCATGCAGAATTCATTAAAGATATGTTGGCAAAGGTTATCTTGTCCTCCCAGATTCAGGTTAGTTCATGTAGACCACAAATCTCAGCCTAGTTCCTTTATTGTCCTACTCTTTGGCAAGAGTGGAAGAGCCTGGAAACTGTTTTATTCCACCTTATTAACAGCCTCTTCAAGTGTGTGAACAAACTTGGGGGTAGCTTTGTGTCTGTCCATGCAGGGGCAAAGCCATATGTTCCAAAAAGGTTCTCATTCAAAATATTGTTCAACAAAAAAGAAAGGGACATTACTGATGCTGGATAAATTGTCTGAGACCATCCTCTATGGCCTGAGGAGAGGGAGGACAAGTATTTCAGTTGAAAGGGACCTACAACACTTATCTAGTCCACTTGTCTCACCACTTCAGGTTTGATTGAAGTTATTTACCTAAATAGCAAGTTAAATCATGCTATTCAGCACATAACCTAAATGCCTCTAAAACAGTGACAGATTTGGGCCATCCCTCTATTCCCAATGTTTGGCCACCCTTTCAATAAAAAAATGCTTCCTGATAGCAAGCTCCAGCTTTCCCTGAAAAAGGTTTGAACCATTCCCACAGATTGTGCTGGATCCCCTCCCTCTCCGTTTCCCTTTCTCAGAAAGTTGTAGACAGGAATGAGTTCACCCCTCAGCCCCCTTTTCTCCAAACTGAATAAACCCAGAGTGCTCAGCTGCTCTTCAAAGACATGCCTTCCAGTCTTTTCAGTAGTTTTGTGACCAGCTTGTGGTATTCTGCCTAAAGAGCAGGGTGCAAGTTGCAATGCACAAGATCTATCTCAGACTAGTAGAACTACCCAAGCTGTAGATGAAGGACTGTACTGGAGCTTGACTTCTCCTGTTGGCAGCCCTATTTCTGTTTGGGTGGCTCCTAAAAAATTAAAGTCAATTTTCAGTACCTCAACACAGTTGCTCCAAAGGTCAAGGATAAAGAGGCAATGTTGTGTATGATACCCAAATTCTAATAATAAATTATAAAATAAAATAAGCTGACCACTTTCACTCTCCAAAACTGAGACAATTGCTCACAATAGATCCACCATAATAAGGCATAATTTTCCCAAAGTTAATCCAAGAGCCGTACTACTTCCTGTTGTTGGTGCTAACTTGTAAAATGACACATCATGGAAAAGAGACAGGTCGTGCAGCTGCCTGGTGCTCCCCATGCAGGTGGGCACCGAGTCCATCCAGGTCATTGTTGTTTATACAAGTCGTTGATGAGGAATGAGTCCACCACAGCTACAGAGTATCCCTACATATCCTAAAGACGGTGTCACATTCTCTGCTTAGAAGCTAAAAGACAGAGAGGTGGACATGGGAGTTATTTTGGGATGCATGGATAAGCACTTTAATAAAATATACTGATTTGGGGAAATTAAATTCTGTTATTATTCCAGTTTTCCTGGGAAATGGCTGTTTCTACGTTAACTATTCCTAGATATTGAACCAACCTGTATGCCACTGATAAGAAATGTGAGTAGCACTATATTTTCTATCCACTCTCTTATGGAGCAATACCAACACATATACCATTATACTTCTTCTACAATGGAGGTAAGATCTTTTAAAATGGAGGTAAGATCTTTCAGTACATCCACCACCCTCTGGAAATGCTATTCACACAATACAAAAATTTCAAGCAATGTGCATAGCAGAGGCAGGGGGGAAAATCTGGTTTTCTTTTTTTTTTTCCTACCTTGGTGTTTATTATATGTGACATTGCCATCAGTGCAGTGCAGTAAAAATGAAATGGTAGCCAATGCGCATAGACACTATGGAAATTTCAAAGGATGAAAGCAACAACAAAAATTATACTTTCCCTTTCCTTTCCTATGTACTCTGCACTAACATAAGGATATGTGACTTAGCTATCCATGCACTGCAATAAAAATAAAATTGGTAGCCAATGTGCCCAGACAGAACCTTCAAATAAAAAAATTAAATTATACTCCTTTTCATCATGTAAAGAATACATGGTGTGAGGCACAAATTTCACTTCACTGCCACATGATAAATTATGGGATGATAACCTGTATTTCTTTCTCATCATGAGGAAGAAAGAAAAGTAGTTTAGGACATTTTTTTTAATTTGTTTTCATTTTATAATCACTAAAATATGTTCTAAAACATTTTCTTATATTAAGCTCATTTGTGTTTGTATATTTCCTAAATGAATGGGGTTTTGGTAAAATATTTGTATCTAAAATTACTCATATAAATAAAAATACACAAATATCTTATGGGATAATAGGGAAACATATCTGCATGCAACATTTTCATCATTAGATATGTTCATGTTGGCACATTTTCATTACTTCACTGCAAAATACTATGTGCTGATTTGAAACCATTTTAAAGATTTGTTGACAACCCAAAAGCTTTAGTTGTGCTTGTAGAATTGTTTAATAAATTAGTAGGTAATATTGCTGTAGCGTGAGGCGATATGACCTGAAAGAATGTGCTCACAGTGGGAGCAAAGCCAGCAGCTCTTCATCTATGATCAGTGAACTGCTGATGGTTCATAGGTCCCTTGTTCAAATTGAGGGGACGGCCATCTGACTGTCCTTGTTTAGAGCTAATAAACATCATTGCAAATAATTAGGCATGTATTAGGTGCCTTAGCATTATTTTTTGACCATGCCATTTTCATTGCTTAACACAAAGATTGATTTCTTCAAAAATAGTTAGCAGAAGACAGTTGTCCAAAAGACAGTGGTTTTTGAAAAAATCTGGGCTGTGTTTCAAAACAATAGCAAACAAAAAACATCAGTCTAGAAGACTGAGCAAGGAGCTCTAGCAGTTTGATGGGTGGGGGCTCCATCTTTGGGTGCTACTAACCAGTTGCTATCATGGTTTAACCTGAGCACAGCTGTCGTGACTCAAAGTCCTCCTTGGAATAGGAGGAAGCGCCAGGCAAGGCAAGCTGCAGGCACCAAGGACTCCTGAGGAAGTGATCTTCACACTGGTCAGAACAAATCATCTTTTCTACGCTGTGTGTGTATAAGGCTTTATTCACTGTGGTTGTAAGGACAGAATGAATCCTCCAAAGTCGTGTTTTCATCCGTGGTTGTAGGATTGTGTTCCTATACCCTCTATGGTCCTGCTCTGAAGGACAAATACATAATTGAGAAATTCTCACTTCTAAAATATTTCTTAAATCCAACAAGAAAAGAGTTCAATCAGAAAGTTACTCCCTTTTCTGGGAGTAACTCCCAGTTCTGCCATAGGTGTGTGGATGAAATTGGAAATTGATTGGAAATCAGAGCTACGGTAATTTAAATAATCTGTTAAAAAGATATTACATTTCTGTAATGCTGGTAATTTTTAAATGGCTCTTTGTTTGATTCATGAACAATACATGAACAGTACATGATTCAAATGAGTAACTTTTATTAAGAATTTATCCCAATAAAAATGTCAAACTGGGTGAAATCCATTGTATACTGCAGCATTTTCATATATATTTTTAATAGCATACTTTAGGGTTCAACTTCTTACAGAACAAAGTTGACAGAGAGGTTGGGGCTGCCACAGAAGATCAAGGAGCCAACAAAAGCAGAAAGATATTATATAGATAATTGCAAAGATCTTGATGCAGTTCAAGTGCTTTTGAAGTTCTGTAATGATTTCTTGCTATCAGAAACTGACAGGTTTAATTGAAGTCAAAGCTTGCTACTAAGTCATGAGATCCATAGGGGTGTAAATATTAGGGCTGCTGCTAAGCAATGAGTCACCTTAGTATTAATTGGGAAAAAAAAAGAATACTTTGCACTGCTTTGACAGTATGGCACATAGTAAGCTATGCTGAGAGGTGCTTTGGTATCTTTGCAGGGAGGATCTTCTGCTTTTAATTCCTTTTCTAACTGAGGGTTTGGTACCTTATTTTCCCTTCATAAAGCTGTTTCTCCATTGTCCCTGCCATTATGTATGAGCTACATCAATAATTAACCATGTGGCTGGAATACTGCAAAGATTAAAAATTTCACCATAATCTGGGAATTTCTTATCATTTCAACTATTTAAATATTTTTACAGCTTGAAGTTCAGTATAACAGAGCAATAAAGACAGTCACCTACAATTTTACAACCCTTGTGGTGAACATAACC